CTGGTCCAGTCTGGGTCACACTGTAACCCTACAGTCCAGAGATCGCCGATCCAGTCTGGGTCGGGTCACACTGTAACCCTACAGTCCAGAGATCGCCGGTCCAGTCTGGGCCGGGTCACACTGTAACCCTACAGTCCAGAGATCGCCGGTCCAGTCTGGGCCGGGTCACACTGTAGCCCTACAGTCAAAGCCTCAGTTCTGTCTCTCCATCCTCAGGTGCGCACCAAGGACCACCGGTTCGAGAGCGTCAGCCACCTGATCAGCTATCACATGGACAATCGCCTGCCCATCGTGTCGGCGGGGAGCGAGGTGTGCCTTCAGCAGCCCGTGGAGCGTCGGCCTTAAGCGCCCGAGGGAGTCAACGTGGGTCGCTGCACAGAAGCCAAAAATTCTCCCCGTCTCCTCCTGCCTGCCTTGTGCTGGGGGTCCACGTCGCCTTAAAGAAACTCGTTATCACGAAATCAGCCCCAAAACACTACTGCTTCCCAGAAAAGAACCTTAAACACCAAAGCCATTGAGACCCCAAAAATGGGCACTCCTGCTATCCCCTTTCCACCCTGATCCCTTGTATTCACACAGCAGGTAGGAGGGGGTTCAAAACACCCCAGAGCACATCCCAGGGGCATTCAAGAGACCCCACCGTGCATTTCGGCAGTAAAATGAACCCCAGTCCCCACTTCCTGCTGGGGTAGGTGTCAGCTCAGTGACGGAGGGGATGACCGCCCTAAGAGCAGTTTGGGGTACATTGTAAAAAAAGTGCAGCTACAGCCAGCGCAGGAACTATTCCGTTCCAAAGTGCTCCTCCGGTCCCAGCATGTCCCACACCAGCCCGCGTCTCTGGACTTGCCTTAGTCCTTGGACACCCCAACAGAGCCTTACTGAAACAATTTGGGGTTCATAGACCCCCCCCCCCACCCTCTGCTCGGTGAATTCCCAGGGCGTGTCTCAGCGGAATGAGCTCTGCGCTATGTGGACTGTATGAATTAAGCGAAGAGGGCACTCCAGGTTTCCTCCTGCCCTCCCGTGGGGTGTGTACCCCCTCGCTTTATAGGGGTGCAGTAATGGGGCACGCGCCCAGCGGCGTGAAGGTTTGAGATCTCCATCAGTAACCCTGGGACACCGCAGCTTCTGCACATCCTTGGAAACGCCGGACGCAAAACCTCCTCGTGCTCCTGGAAACCTGGGAGGAGTGAGGGCGTCGGAATGCAGGCTCGGCTGAAGCAGGAAACATTCTGGAGTGAATGTGTTGGAAATCATCCAGGGGGTGTTATCCGGGGATAATAAATATTGGGGGGGGGGGGGAAGAGGGTGCTACAGCACAGTATCTGCACCCCTCTCGGTTTGTCTTCAGGTTCCAGCTCCACCGGCAAGCGTATCCCTGCCAGGCCAGAGGGTCAGGATACAATCCCTCCTACCCAGCAGTCTTCCCACAGACATCGTATCGGAGCCGTGTGTGTTCAAAATAAAATACACAGCTGCACTGGGATTAAAGATTCAGGGATCATCCCCCCCTGTCAAGCGGGTCACTGGGCAGCCCCCAGTGAATCCTCAATCATCCATATCGGCAACCCCAAGAGGAGAATTTCTGGGGGGTCCACAGCACCTTAGGGAGCGGTGTCTATACCCAAAGACACGGATTCTTGCCAAGCCGCCCTGTCCGTGACGAAGCAGAGGATTGTGAGCCCTCAGGACAGCTCCATAATTATTCCAACCTGGGGCAGAAACGGAGAGACTCATTCTGCGCGCTGGCCTCCCATACAGCCCGTAGAACTCGCCGCACCTTCTGAGCACAGCTGGGTAGCAGCCCTCCGGATGAGGACTGTGGAAGGGATGGGTGGAGGAATTGGAGGGCGTGTTCGGTACTCGATCCTGTCTTTGTTAGGAGGGGTTGGGGAGGTTTATTAGTGAGATTCTTCCTGGGAAGGGGATGGTCTGTCTTTTGAGAGCCATGTCAGCGACGGGAAGAAATGGGATTGTGAGGTGGCAGGGTCTTCGGTGAGGTTGACAGCTCAACAAAGGTGCTGCACTGTGCCAGTAGTCCTAGTGCATTCTGGGAATTGCGGTTTATTGGTTGTTTTTTTCCTGTCCCTATCCTGATCGGTTTTCCCCTGGCCTCTCCCGCCATGGAACCTTACCATGAATCTGGGTGTTCCCTTATGGATTCATCTGTCGGAACATCCTGCAGTGGCTTTGGCTTGGCTCCAGACTGTGGCTGCCTCTTCAGCCCGTGATTTGGACTTTTGCCATCTCTCCCTTAATGGACCTACGCCACCCATAAGCTTTTGGTTGGGCTGATGGGAGCTGTAGTCCACTCCAGCTCTGGGAATCAAGTCTTTGAAGTGGTCTAAAACTAACTTATCTGAAGGACACCTTCTCATGAGAGATGTAGGTGGTCTGTGGGTCAGTCGTGTATGGTGGGGGCCACATGACGCTTGTGGAAGAGAAAGCCTTACACTGCCTGGCTTCTGAGCAATCAGTCAAAGAAAACCACAGGAAAACCCATCAATCAAGACAATCAGTAATTAAAATAATCATGAACAATCCTTTATAAACCCTTGTGCAAACACATATCGTAGGGAGATATGCATAGAGTATAATATAAATGATACAGTTTCAGTTTTGTGGTGTACATGCAGTTTCTTAGAAACTGAGAGGAGAGAGGGATGACAGAAACCACGGGACTTGACTCCTCTTCTCAGATTTTGAATTTTTCTTTTCTCTTAATGTGCCTTTTGGGCCAGTAATTTTTTATGGCCCAACCCACCTCATATGCAAATTATTTTAACTTTAACAAAATATATATACAAGATCTAGACAAATGTTACAGCATTGGGGGAGCTTCTTTTTAATGGCTATTGAGGTGCTGGGGGAGTGCCAGGAGGAAAAGGGGGAGGAGTCTGGAACACAGCTGGTGGCTCTTGGCCAATCATGCTGCTCTGTCCCACAGCTGGAGCCACCTCCCACTTCCTGTGTGGGCGGAACTTGATTGGCGATGCTCAAAACAGCCTTTACAACAAAGAACAGTTTTAGCACCAGACACACTAGGTCCAGTCCTCAGTCTGGTTCACCAGTTTACTCAAACTTAATCCAGCAGCCCCTGCATCTTTTCCAAATGATCAATCCCGATCCGTTGCATTATGCTCCCACTCTCCCATCCCTCAATAGCAGGTTTCTTGGCAGTCGTGCTGTGTGCAGAGTTGAACGTGTGTGATTTTTTTAGAATATTGTCAGCTGTGTTATGAAAAAGCGGGGACTGCTTCAGTCGCAACAGACTGGGAGGTGGGCAGCGCCCAGCTGCGGGGCTGGGTGATGGGATTGAAGATAGATACTTTATTGATCCCGTGAGGGAAATTGCAGTGCAACAGCAGCTTAACACAGACAACACAGGAACAGTGTTACTAATGATACAATAATAATAATACAGTACAATCAGTACAGTGAGAAGTGCACTATGAAGAGTTACTCACGGTCCAGAACACACAAAGAACAGAACAGCATACAAAGAAGTTGTCAAAAGTCAAAGGGAGGGGGAAGGGCACTGGGGGAGTGACCAGAAGTATGTGACCACGAGCTCCTCGGCCTCCGTTGTCCCGGCTCGCCTCTCGAGTGGCCTCTGCGGCCCTCAGCGGCCCCTGCAGGCTTCCCTTGGGATCCGGGAGCCAAAATGTGAGTTTGGAAAAATCTTTTTTTGATTGTGTTTATTTTTTCAGTTATAAAGTCCCTAAAGCAGCACAGCCAGCTGGGTCTTTCCGAAGATCAGCACGGACGTTTGGGCGTTATGCGTAGTAGTAATACTCCGACGGTTTGGGCAGTTCCTGTGTCTGTCCGAGTCTGGACAAAGTGAGACACTGAACTGGTGGCAGAGGGGTTTGTTTGTGTGCTAATGTTAGATTTTGTCCTATCCTGCACAGGCACAATATCAGGGCATTTAGGGGGGGTCCTCCAGGCAGTATTTGGGCAGCCCCTGAGAGAGTGAGCGAGGATCATTCCACCTTCGAACCCGGCCCCCTCGTTCCCAGTCCTCGACACTCTCCCTCATCTCCGGCCATTGCTTATGTTTCAGAGAACCTGCGCACAGAGGCAGTCTCCTCTCTCCTGTTCCTCTGCGTCTCTCTTTGCACCTGTACGATAAATCCTGCTTGTTTCAGATTATCTGTATTATTGTTATAAACCAAAGCTCAGTCACTGAGGTTTTTTTTGTACACTTTCTGTTAATGTTGGGGGATAAAACGTTTACATCTATATCTATATATATATTATATATATGCATTATACATGTCTTTTACCTTTATTGGTGGATTTGGTTTGAAATATAATTTCTTGTATTTCCTGCTTTGATCACTGTCTCAAGGTGTGGTATGTTGATTCTGTGCCTGTGTGGTTAAGAACTGACTGCTGGGGCCAGGCCAGGGAGACAGGTGGGTAAGGGTCAGTAGAGCTGGGTTAAGGGAGAGAGCTGGGTTAAGGGAGAGAGCTGGGTAAGGGTTAAGAGAGGTGGGTAAGGGTTGAGTGAGATGGGTGGGAGTCCACGGAGGAAGAGGGGGGCAGGTGGTCGAAAACAGGGGAGTGGGAGCGGAAGCAGAGTTGAGAAGGTGTGGTCCACAGAAAACCGGGGAAGGCTGGAGAGCCTGCTGGAGAGAGAGAGGGACAGGGGTGCTGGTTCAGGGAAGGGAGGGGGGAGTGTGCACTCGCTTGTGCTCAGCCTGCCAGAGAAACGGAGCGAGCAGGATTTGTGTTTGTAAAGAGAGACGGCGGGGCCTGACACGCCACGTGTGCGGGTCAGCAGCGCCGCTTCACACGGCGAGAGCGATGTGGACGAGCCGGGACCCTTCCAGAGGGGCGAGCACAAAGAGCTGGAGGGGCAGAAAAAGATGAGCTCAGCAGGGGGAGGGGAGGTGCACTGGGGTCCCCGCACAGGGGTGGGCGAGGGAGACATAAACAGGCACTGAGCGCCGGGCACGCCAGCGATTTCCACTTGGTCCCGAGAGAGAGAGAGAGAGAGAGGCAGGGAGACAGCAGGAAGAGTACGAAACCGGGCCGGATCAATAAAAACGACGGGAGGTAAGCCGGGTCGAGAAGGAGGAAGACAAATAAACTTCCCTGCGAACGAAGGGAGAGAAAGCGCCAGGACCTACAGAGCCCTCTGCTCCCGCCCGGCCTCCACAGCGCTGCCCCATGCAGCCCCAGCGCCCCGTCCCCCAGGCCGCGCCCTCCTCCGTGGGCCACACCCTCCGCGACATGGCCCTGGGCTTCGGCCGCAACAAGAACCTGCTGGGAGCCAACTTCTCCTACGGGCTGCTCCAGTCGCTCAAGGAGTGCCTGTACTTCCTGCTGTGCTGCTGGTGCATCAAGGAGATCCTGGACTGACGGCGGCGGGCCGGGCCGGGCCGGTTCCGATTCTGGCGCGCCGCCTGCTCTGACACAGGTAGAACACTTCTGAAAACACTGGCTGTGACGGAACACTGGAGAAGAACGGCTCAGTGAGATATTGATGAAGTGCAGTAAAAAGCCAAGTAAATTAAGCTAAAGGTACAGTGAGATCAGGGTAAAAGCACAGTACAGTAAAGCCCAGTGAGATCAGGGTAAAAGCACAGTGCAGTGCAGTACATACAGCCCAGTGAGATCAGGGTAAAAGCACAGTGCAGTGCGGTAAAGCCGTGAGATCAGGGTAAAAGCACAGTAAAGTGCGGTCAAGCCCAGTGAGATCAGGGTAAGAGCACAGTACAGTGCAGTACAGCCCAGTGAGGTCAGGGTAAAAGCACAGTGCAGTACAGTACAGCCCAGTGAGATCAGGGTAAAAGCACAGTGCAGTTCGGTAAAGCCCAGTGAGATCAGGGTAAAAGCACAGTG